TTGGCGTAAAATGTCCAAAATAAAACATTGTATTTTATTAATAATTTTGTTTAGTTTACCAAGACACGTGTTGCATTATATAGTATGCACCTCAGCTATGATTCAATATTTTACACAAAAAGGCCGAAAGTATCAACGTCTCTCATTGCAAAACTGAATTCTTGATATCATCAATAAAATAAATTAATGATGACAGCACTGGCTTGGATTATGTAACCTTCTAATCTAATGTAAATGGCAGCAAGTGTTGCAGTCGGCATCTTCAATTTGATGCACGGATCATCACAGTTTATCCCATAGGCTATCTTCCTTTGTGTTTCTTCGATAAATGACAGCAGAATTTAGAGGGGGGTGTAAATTAGTTTTTCTAGCACTTATTTTTTTCGTACTTTCTGTAATCTCCATCGTGGAACTTGTATTGTGTTTTCACGGGGTGAAGAGGGCTCCAATTAAAATTGTGACCTGTGTGCTGCACACAATGACAAACTTCATCAGTGATGTAATCAAGAAGAAATTCTACTTTACAAAAATAATAAATGACAAGTAGTCTTTCTTTTATGTGTATGTGTGGTTTTTTTTTTCATTAACGCTGTCCTATTTTTCAAAGGAAGTCTTCATGACTGTGTTTTTCTTGTGGTTTTCTCACCCACAAGTGAGACACAGCTTCCTCTTGAGGTCGGTAAATTGAAAGAAGAGGAGACCTTTAAACTCCCATTCAGTGGTAAACCGTTAATCGGGTAACACGACACTAACATATCGCAAAATGAATATCAAGAAAGTTTGTTTTATGGGAACCAAACCAGAATGCTATATACAGTAAACACACTTGATCAGCCATTTAAGATTTTCACCGATGCATTTATTTATTTACTACTAATAGTTAAAATAAAAGGTGGTTCTCAGGGGCTAGAAGTCTGCGAGTCTTTTGCCACAAAGGTGGTTTTGTCAGTGGACTGCAAGTGTGAACGAGAACTGTGCATTTGCCGCGTTGCAGCAATGGTGATGTGTTGACCGCATGTTTTAAGCGTACGTTCTTAACAATGCTGAGATGTGGGAAATGGCATGTTCCACACATGAAGACGCTGATCGGCACCTGCAGTGAAGAGCTGGCTCCCGACCTTGTTCAAGGACACGTGCAGAATACGACTTGAATGACCTGGAAAAAAAAAAAAGCAAAAAAAAAAATATATATAAACTCATGGCGACATTCAAGGGAAACTTTGAGAGCTCCGACTGGCGAGCATTTTAAATATGTCATAATTAAAATACCTTGTCGGAAAGCTACATGGTAGAGGTCTGGATTCCAAATGTTGAAAAATGTGACCTCATAACAAGCGTCACTATTTACAGAACCTTGATAAGATGGCGAACGAGACGTAGTGATAAGATCATTTGGAGCAGATTTTTAAAATAATGACTCACCGTTAGCCACTAGCAGTATGCTGGCACCCTCTTGTGGTATGCAAAATGATTGCAAAATTCTATAGCACTTTATCGACAATATTGTGCCCAAAGCGCTTTGTAAAGCTTCACTTACTCACTTATTTAATACATATTCATTTACTGAACCAGAGTGAACAGAAGTGTGTTGACCCAGCAGCGTTAACCTATGGAAAAGGTTGTCCTTTATAGTTGAAAATAGCTTGATTCATCTTCCACAATGCCTCATCGTACCCTGGCCAAGGATACAATCCATGGTGTTTTTTTTCTTGCTTTAATCTGTATTGTGATGTACCAGCTACATAGCCCTAAGCTAACCTATCGATTCTCCATATGCTGCTGTGATGGTGTGAGAGGCCAGCAGTGAAGAAACAAAGACAAAGATAATTGATATGCTTCCTAGCTGGGCTTTATTGACTAACTGCTTAACAATTGAATTTAATGTTCATTAGCCAGCATAATTTTTCATAAACAGCACAAACGATTCCGGGTGTCCCACTCGAAAATAGCGTGCTTTTCTCACGACGCACGTGACACTCCTACATACACTATGTCACGAATATCCAAACGCACGTGTGACCATTCAACATTCCCCTGTGACGCGCCGACGTTTTGACCCATTCTGACTCGAATTCGAAAATTCTCATTTGGTGTTCATTTTAAATGGCATACTCGCATCTCTAGTCAAGTGACCACGGATTCATACACCGCCCTTGTATCATATATACTTTTTGAGTATTATTTGGTGTAAAAAGTGGTTCAATCGAACCCCAGGGAAAATAGACTGCTGAATGAATTGTTCTTTTACCTGAAAGGTGCAAAAGAGGCCTGAGTGAGGGGAAATTCCAATCCCAACAAATGGCGCTGTTATGGGGGCGCCCATGCCCGGTCACCAGGATTCTGGTGGCCTCCACCCAGTTAAGTGAGCAGATCTGCAATCAGAGTTGTTCCAAGAGTCAACGGTGCGTAACGTCATAGTGTCAGCGCTTCAGTGATGCTCAGAGTGTCAATGCACCTGTGAGTTGGTGTCAGCAGACCGGACACAACGGGCCAACTCGGTGTCCCAAATTCGAAGCTTTCCGTCTTCCCACCCTCCACCCGTTGCCATCACATTTCTCTTCCAAGGACACCATCCCATCGCCTGAACGCATACAACCTTGTCAATGCTTCAAAAGATCTTCAGATGTTAAAATTCAGTAGGACTGCACCCCACTTGAGGTAAAAAAAAAAAAAAGATCACTTTATTGATTGACACCTTGACGGCGCTCGGCTGCTTCATTGTGGGGGGGGGCCGGCTAATATGGTTTCTGTCAGAGGGTAAACATGACACAAACATTATTAACGTTTTCTGATGCTGTAAAAATGTGTCGAATAAATATTAAATGTCAACATTTCGTCAACGAATATTTGCGTCATAGCCTGCAACACACGTTTCTATTAGCAGGGCGGGATGTCAGTCAGGGGGCTGAAAAAAAAAAAACACAGCTGCCTTTCATGTACAATTCACCGAGGGTACTTGCTAAGAATGGGAATCTGGGCGGCCAAGAGAAGCATTTTTAAATGGTACACGTGAGCTACGATAGTTAGCACGCTGTGAAAGTGTCCCGTGCTTCGTTCATCTTAGCGGCCGTTATGGCTGTTGCTCATTACGCCATGCGTGTGTAAGTGTGTGCATGTGCGCACGTGTGCGGTAACGGGTCGATCGCGGGAGGCTTGTTGTTCGAAAAGTAGATCTTCCGTCAAGAAAGTTTGGGCACCCCTCCTCGACAAGATGAACTGCAGGGGGTGAAATAAAAACTTTTAATCATGAATGCTCGTTGTGTATTTGTAGCCAACTTAGTCATGTTGATAGCAGGCTAATATGGCTCATGTAGATACATACAGCATGTGTTGCCTTCATGATAAGGCTTTTTATTTTTTTGCGTCTCCAGACATATTTGTTTTTTGTTTATTTTGGTCCAATATGGCTCTTTCAACATTTTGGGTTGCAGACCCCTGGTCTAAACTCATGAAACTTTGCACACACACCAGGGCTAGCAAAATAGTAAATATTTTAGTCAGTCAACGCGTGATTTAAAAAAAAAAAAAAAAAGGCTCAGTAGCGCCCCATTCAATTACTTACTAAAGCAGTCAGGCTGTATGTTTCACCCACATCTAGGAAAATTTGAAGGCTTATGTAACAACCAAGAACAACAATAAAGGCTCCTGCAGCCATATGCTAAACCTAACAAGAAGTTGGCCAATTTGTCATCGCCCTCACCACAAATGCTGGTGTAACTTGACCCAGATGATCATATCTTGTCAAATAATCACATGTTTTATGAGAATCCAGGCATGAGGACAAATAATGAGCTTATTTTTCATCATAGTAGTCACACTGCCTGCTGGCTAAAGGAAACAGGTATTTTTGATGGGTTTTTTCCCCAGCAGCCTTACCAGATCCACCTCATTTTGGTAGAGAAGAATGTTTAGGCTTTCATCATATTAAAACACAAAATTTGTGATTATTTTTTGGAATGCTGTTGCTCTCGCAAGAAAAAACAACATTGATTTTGAGGCTCAAAACATTAATGAAAGATCATGAAACTTTGCATACGCATCAGGCTGATCAAAGTAATAAATTTGTCTTAGTTTATTGTGCAGTTTTTTTAATGGCTCTGTTTTTAGAGTGGTTTGGTTTGTGACCAACAGGTGGCACTGTAGGGCTCTTCCTGCAGTGGCACACCTGTTGGTCATTGTGTCATTAGTTAGTGTTTCTGTTAAAAGGACTTTTTGCCCGACCTGTCGAGCTCGGGTCATTCTTTGAAGGGTTTTGCAAAGTGGTCACGTAGCACCCCAAAAAGCATGGAGGCAGGGTGGACTGAACAAAATGTATTGAACAAAAAATACAAACTAAGGCGGACACAAAGACAAAACACAATGACCCGATCTCGACAGGTCGGGCATGGAGTCCTTTTAACAGAAACACTAACAAATGACACAATGACCAACAGGTGTGCCTCTGCAGGAAGAGCCCTACAGTGCCACCTGTTGGTCATAAACAGAACCACCCTAACAGATCTTTATTGCATGGAGCAGGGATGAGCAACTGGTGGCCCCCCACACTTTGAGTGGGCCCTTGATTTGTATTTTTTTTAAACATTTGGGGGATTTTCCGCAAAGGTTGTGCAGTATAGTTTTAAATTGTAAGATCACCATTCACCAGCAGATGACACGGTCACTGTTTAGTTATTTTGTTGTTTGCTTCAACCCTTTGTTGTTGGGTAAGAATAGTGGATCTTTTATAAAGGAGACATGTATTATGAAAAATTAAATATATTTAGAGCAGGTATTTTGCGCACTTGCACATATTTTGTCCATATTTAAAGTGACATTTTTGTTCTATATCTGGTTAGAGAGTGCATGGTCCTATGTGTCCCCCAATTAATACTGATAAAAAATTGTTGCTCCTCCAGTACTTAAGTTGCCCATCCTTGGCACAAAGTATGCTATGTAATATAAATAATACAGTACTAAAATCCGGTCGTCTCATGCCAAGTAAAAGTACAGTCAGCCTGTACCAGTTGATTGTGCATCTCCACTTTCATGTGCAGTCCAAATCCATTCCTGCAAAAATGATTTAAAAATAAACATATTTTCTCATCAGGCAATCACGGGTGTTTTTGTTTTTCTTATGTTCTATGAACACACCTGTTTTGGCGCATTGAACATGTCTGAACATCTTCTGCGGTTTGCAATGATGCATTGTGTCTTCGGTGTTGCGTTGGTGTCACACACAATCAGCCTGGACTCTGATTGAAATAAATAATTAAATAACGATTACGCTTTGTACATGAAGGGCGTGAATTTAACTGGCAATGGGTGGTTGGGTTTGCACAAGCTTCCTTTTGTTCAGTAGAATGCATGTATTTGCATGTTGAACTGAACCATGTATAACAAACATTTTGCATGAACCTCAAAGCTGTGATCTGGTGCAATGACACAAAAGCCTCACGAAACGCTACCCACAGCTTCAGGGGAAACCATGGTTGCTCCTTTGTTGTTTTGCTTTACTGTTGTATATGTTAGTTGTACCTCCTTGGGGGCCAATTCCGGCCCGTGGGCCGTATGTTTGACACCCTAGACCAGAGCAAGCCTCGACCAGTTGAGGATGTGGAGACCTACTCACTTGAGTTGAAGTAACTGTGTTTGGCTCCAATGAACAAACGTAAGCGCAATTTATTTATTTGTTTATTCACAATTTTAAAGCAAGATCGTTAAAAAAACACGAACAAGAACAACAACAGCATTTAACTTGATCTTACATTAAATTTTCTTTTGTTTTCTTGCTATCACGTTGTTGAACAGTGTGGGATTGAAATATAATTAAAAGATTTGGAAACAAATACTGGTCTTCAAAAATTCCGTGTTGACCTGGATCGAAACAAGTTTACTAAGAAAGTCCAAATAGAAATATAGACTAATCTTTTATTTTGGGTTTGTTCTTTTACCTCTTACCCCAGAGGAGTCAACCAGTCATGAACCTCAATGCACATTCAATGGGAAACCGAAACTGATGTACCGGTAAATGAAAATCTGACACAGTGACTCGGGTTGCAAAGATGTACAGCATTTAGTCACATTTTTTTCCTTTGGCGTAAAATGTCCAAAATAAAACATTGTATTTTATTAATAATTTTGTTTAGTTTACCAAGACACGTGTTGCATTATATAGTATGCACCTCAGCTATGATTCAATATTTTACACAAAAAGGCCGAAAGTATCAACGTCTCTCATTGCAAAACTGAATTCTTGATATCATCAATAAAATAAATTAATGATGACAGCACTGGCTTGGATTATGTAACCTTCTAATCTAATGTAAATGGCAGCAAGTGTTGCAGTCGGCATCTTCAATTTGATGCACGGATCATCACAGTTTATCCCATAGGCTATCTTCCTTTGTGTTTCTTCGATAAATGACAGCAGAATTTAGAGGGGGGTGTAAATTAGTTTTTCTAGCACTTATTTTTTTCGTACTTTCTGTAATCTCCATCGTGGAACTTGTATTGTGTTTTCACGGGGTGAAGAGGGCTCCAATTAAAATTGTGACCTGTGTGCTGCACACAATGACAAACTTCATCAGTGATGTAATCAAGAAGAAATTCTACTTTACAAAAATAATAAATGACAAGTAGTCTTTCTTTTATGTGTATGTGTGGTTTTTTTTTTCATTAACGCTGTCCTATTTTTCAAAGGAAGTCTTCATGACTGTGTTTTTCTTGTGGTTTTCTCACCCACAAGTGAGACACAGCTTCCTCTTGAGGTCGGTAAATTGAAAGAAGAGGAGACCTTTAAACTCCCATTCAGTGGTAAACCGTTAATCGGGTAACACGACACTAACATATCGCAAAATGAATATCAAGAAAGTTTGTTTTATGGGAACCAAACCAGAATGCTATATACAGTAAACACACTTGATCAGCCATTTAAGATTTTCACCGATGCATTTATTTATTTACTACTAATAGTTAAAATAAAAGGTGGTTCTCAGGGGCTAGAAGTCTGCGAGTCTTTTGCCACAAAGGTGGTTTTGTCAGTGGACTGCAAGTGTGAACGAGAACTGTGCATTTGCCGCGTTGCAGCAATGGTGATGTGTTGACCGCATGTTTTAAGCGTACGTTCTTAACAATGCTGAGATGTGGGAAATGGCATGTTCCACACATGAAGACGCTGATCGGCACCTGCAGTGAAGAGCTGGCTCCCGACCTTGTTCAAGGACACGTGCAGAATACGACTTGAATGACCTGGAAAAAAAAAAAAGCAAAAAAAAAAATATATATAAACTCATGGCGACATTCAAGGGAAACTTTGAGAGCTCCGACTGGCGAGCATTTTAAATATGTCATAATTAAAATACCTTGTCGGAAAGCTACATGGTAGAGGTCTGGATTCCAAATGTTGAAAAATGTGACCTCATAACAAGCGTCACTATTTACAGAACCTTGATAAGATGGCGAACGAGACGTAGTGATAAGATCATTTGGAGCAGATTTTTAAAATAATGACTCACCGTTAGCCACTAGCAGTATGCTGGCACCCTCTTGTGGTATGCAAAATGATTGCAAAATTCTATAGCACTTTATCGACAATATTGTGCCCAAAGCGCTTTGTAAAGCTTCACTTACTCACTTATTTAATACATATTCATTTACTGAACCAGAGTGAACAGAAGTGTGTTGACCCAGCAGCGTTAACCTATGGAAAAGGTTGTCCTTTATAGTTGAAAATAGCTTGATTCATCTTCCACAATGCCTCATCGTACCCTGGCCAAGGATACAATCCATGGTGTTTTTTTTCTTGCTTTAATCTGTATTGTGATGTACCAGCTACATAGCCCTAAGCTAACCTATCGATTCTCCATATGCTGCTGTGATGGTGTGAGAGGCCAGCAGTGAAGAAACAAAGACAAAGATAATTGATATGCTTCCTAGCTGGGCTTTATTGACTAACTGCTTAACAATTGAATTTAATGTTCATTAGCCAGCATAATTTTTCATAAACAGCACAAACGATTCCGGGTGTCCCACTCGAAAATAGCGTGCTTTTCTCACGACGCACGTGACACTCCTACATACACTATGTCACGAATATCCAAACGCACGTGTGACCATTCAACATTCCCCTGTGACGCGCCGACGTTTTGACCCATTCTGACTCGAATTCGAAAATTCTCATTTGGTGTTCATTTTAAATGGCATACTCGCATCTCTAGTCAAGTGACCACGGATTCATACACCGCCCTTGTATCATATATACTTTTTGAGTATTATTTGGTGTAAAAAGTGGTTCAATCGAACCCCAGGGAAAATAGACTGCTGAATGAATTGTTCTTTTACCTGAAAGGTGCAAAAGAGGCCTGAGTGAGGGGAAATTCCAATCCCAACAAATGGCGCTGTTATGGGGGCGCCCATGCCCGGTCACCAGGATTCTGGTGGCCTCCACCCAGTTAAGTGAGCAGATCTGCAATCAGAGTTGTTCCAAGAGTCAACGGTGCGTAACGTCATAGTGTCAGCGCTTCAGTGATGCTCAGAGTGTCAATGCACCTGTGAGTTGGTGTCAGCAGACCGGACACAACGGGCCAACTCGGTGTCCCAAATTCGAAGCTTTCCGTCTTCCCACCCTCCACCCGTTGCCATCACATTTCTCTTCCAAGGACACCATCCCATCGCCTGAACGCATACAACCTTGTCAATGCTTCAAAAGATCTTCAGATGTTAAAATTCAGTAGGACTGCACCCCACTTGAGGTAAAAAAAAAAAAAAGATCACTTTATTGATTGACACCTTGACGGCGCTCGGCTGCTTCATTGTGGGGGGGGGCCGGC